GAGAGAGAGAGAGAGAGAGAGAGAGAGAGAGAGAGAGAGAGCTTTAACCGAGGCGGTGGTGAATAATCCCGTTCGGCTGAACGCTTCCATCGGAGGAGGGGGTTCTGGACCGGTTCGCAGAAGGCAGAGCTGCTCGGTTCCGACAGATCATCAGCGGACAGAAGCTTTGAGGAGGTAAGAGCTGCATGATGGGGGGTTGGGGGTATAAATTAATTAATTAATTAAAATAAACCGAACCTTTCAGGCAAAACCATGACAACAAGACATGAAAATGTCCCAAAAAAACAGCTAATTGTCCTTTAATGATGCGATGTGTCGTGTGTTAGAATGATGTTTGTGTAAAACGTTGTGTGTTTGTGTTGTTGGATGCGCACAGGAGGTAAAAACTCACTGCGTCGTTTCCATCGGAATGCAGCAGCATCTCCTCCTCCCTGCTTCACAGGAGGCGGGTGACACCGTAAACAGCTCTGATCCAACACTAACGTGACGGAGACAAACAGCAGTGTGTTTGTCCTCCTGTCCTCTCCTGTCCTCTCCTGTCCTCTCCTGTCCTCCGCAGCGCAGGCCTGCGCCATCACACCTGCGGCGGATCCTTCTGCTCTAAAAACGCCGCAGTTTTTACGTCTTTTCTGCAAAATGTTTGTCCTCAAGGTCATTGACGGAGTCTGAGCAGAAAGCCTCAGATCTGCGGCGGGAACCACTAATCAGGAGCCGAGAGACGGAATGTGTCTGCGCTGCAGGAGCAGCAGATTAAAGCGCTTTGATTTCAGCTGCAGCGCAGATCATCGGTTCTGCTGCAGGTTCTGGAGGCCTGGGTCAATGCAGTCCAATCTGCTGCAGGTTCTGGAGGCCTGGGTCAATGCAGTCCAATCTGCTGCAGGTTCTGGAGGCCTGGGTCAATGCAGTCCAATCTGCTGTGGTTGTGGAGGCCTGGGTCAATGCAGTCCAGCCTGCTGTCTTCCTGTCCTCCTGCCTACATGTGTCCAGCCCCCAGTCCTCCTGTGGAAATGTGTCCTGCATGCTGTCCTTCTGCTGTGGACATGTGTCTGGTCCCAAAACATGAGGAACCGACCTGATATTACAACAAATTCTCACTCCCGAGTCGTCACATGTTGACACGTTTCCAAAGTTCCATTTGCGTCCATTTTCGACGCGTCGGGTACTCCCCTTGTGTCATTTTTTGACGAGATGGGGCGGAATCTGTTGTCATAATTTCTGAAAAAGTAGAAAATGCACAAAAACTACCGTCCCAAAGCCTAAAATTACCTAATATTCACTGTAGACATCCTATCCCTGACCCCAGTACCTAAACTTAACCATTAATCCTGATCCCTCATGTTAACCTCAGACCCCCGACCCAAAGACCCCTGGTGGCACAACCTGGAAAAGCCGCGGGCGGCAAGGACTGATGCGAGGAGGGTCACCCGACGGGTCAAAATAAGACGCAGGGGGAACTTTGGAAAAGCTTCACTATGTTGACGAGTCGGGAGTGAGAATGTGTTAGATATTAAGACACGTTTCGAATTATTTCAATAAAGAATCCACTCGTTCTTTGTTTTTCAAGAACCTGCTAAAATCTGTTTACAGAGAAATAAAACAAGTGAAGGTAAAGAGAAGTAAAAACACTAGCTATAAGATGAAAATTCAAATAAAACAAAAATAAACGGACTGTTAAAATCATGAAACCAACAAAACAATAAAAACAACAGATTTTGAAACAGGAAGTGAGTCGGCCTTTCTGATAGGGGCGGTGACTGAAAACACTCGGACGCCTCTTTAACAGGGACTGATCTGCAGACCTGAGAGAGCTGGAGCAGGTCAGACAGATACTGTGGGGCGGGACCATAAAGACATCTAAAAACAAACAATACATCTATAAAATTTTTTGGGACTAGTTAAATAAGCAGCAGAATTCTGAGTCAGCTGAAGTTGGGTCAGTAACGACTAGCTCAGTCCAACTAAAGTGCATTGCAGTAGTCTAAATGAGTCAAATAAGAAGAAGGGATTCAAAGTGATGCTGTTAAAGAAATTAGTTGAAGTTCTCAAGTGTTAAAAGCTGGACTTGATCACTGATTTAATTTGAGAATTGCTTTTAAAATCATTGTTCAGTCTAACACCCAGATCAGTTGCTATCCATGTCAGATGTGTTAAATGACACAGATCAGCATTGACTTTGGAAGCATCAAAGGGCGTAAACAACAAGACTTCAGTGTTTAGTTCATTAAAATGTAGGAAAAAAATCTGCAACATCATGCTGCATTCAGCGTGATTCAGCATTCATCTGCAATTCATTTCAGGAGTTGGCTCACAGAGCTTTTCTTGTTTCAGTGGCACATACATTTGGCTGACATCAGCATAAAAATAGAAAACACCACCTTGTTTCTGGAGAATAGATCCTAGATGGAGTAAATAAATGGAAAAAAGAAGAGGACCAAGTCTAGAGCCCTGAGGTACCTCACATATGAAGTGCTACAGAGGACTCAACAGCTCCAACTCAAACACAAAAGCTCCCGTCAGTTAAATAGGATCTGAGACACACACAGCAGAACCCAAAAAAGCACACTAGCTGGATGTTAAAATTAGCATCTTGCTAGCCAAAATATAGAAGTAACAAAATGCTAGCTAATAGTAACAATATGTTATGTTAAGGCTAAAATAAGCACATTTTGAGACACATTTTCAATTCAAACATGAGCCTGTTAGGGTTTGGTAAATGTTCACTTTTTCTTGATGATATCAGAAACATTGTCTCCCAACTAATTATTATCTAAAAACAAGTACGTTCTTCATCAGAGCCTGATGTTCTGCTCAGGTTCCTGATATCTTCTGTCACCCTGAACATCCAGCTGACTTTAGTTCTGAAGGTGACAGTTGTTCATGGGTCAAACAGCAGATCTGAAGATTTATCTTCTGGTCAGGCACGACCGGTCCATAAGAGTGTGGGGTGCAGCCCCATCTGAACAAAATTCATTCACCCCACAAAGTAATCCCTCCAAATAAACAATGTAAATTGGTTATTCACTTAGCTTGCCATGCATTTTCTGTTTAACACTTTTAACAATTTTAAATGGGTTTTAGTGATTCCTTCTCAGTTTTCTACTTATTTACAGTTTAGGGTGGAACAAGGACACCATGCATTTGGCAGTGTATTTATCTTGTTTTTATATATATATATAAATATATATACTCCCCCTGTCTGCAATAATTGGTACTATCAGCTCCTCTGAATAGTCTCCTAGTGGTGATAAACATAACGTCCTACTCTCAGTTTTTGCACATTGATACAAACAATAGACATAATAACAATTAACAAATGCAGGAATAGTGTTCAGCAAACGTTTTGTCCAACAGAGGAGATATTGTAGTTAAAAATGTATTTGGAGCAGACACAGCAAGCCTGAACAGAACACAGAAAACTGGGGACAGAAAGGGAAATAAAAAAAACAGGACTTTTTGCCCAGAAGGTACGACTGTTTTTAACCTAATCTGTGGCGACTGAATGTTACTACCTCTGTGCAAATATAGAGATGTGGTTTTGAAATCTGTGAGTTGAGGCCTCGAGTTAAAATGCATAATTCTCTGTTTTATTTAATATTATTATTATTATTATTATTATTATTATTATTATTATTATTATTATTATTATTATTATTATTATTATTATTATTGTACTTTATATTTAGAATCAGTTCACAGGGTGTCTTCCCCCCATTTAACTTTGTTAAACTGGAGTATTATTGCAGAATTATTACTCAAAATTAAATTAGAAATCAAAACCAGAAAGCTGTGTAACTATAGTACCTGTCTGATTAATTTTAACCACACTTAAAATATATGCTTGGGTTGGAGCAGGTGTTTCTCTGATTAAATATTAGACCGGACCCTTTTTTTTTACGAGACACAACCTGCGGGGAGAGAAGTAAAAGATGACAAATATCTGACTAAATAAGTAATGTTCATAGGAAATGAATGTCCGCCCCACTAATGTCTGTGTTCACGAGCTCTGACTGCTGCTGGTGGTAAAGGTGGAGCGTGTTGGGTGGAGTTGTAAAGCAGAACAGTTGATGGGAAAGCTTTTGTTTTTTGTAGATTTGAAATTAAAGTGAAAATGTGGAGCCAGAGTCTATGCACTCAGGATTGTAGCCAAAGCTGAACCATCAGGTGCTCACAGTCTAACTCCTCCCCCAGGCCTGGCTCCAGGGAAGTTGCACTTTTTCAGGCAAGCTTTCCTGATGCTTTTGCTGTCTTTTTGCATCAAGTTTCTTTTTTTTAGTAAATTGTTCGTAATCTGACTCTGATCTGCCTGCTTACCCTACCAGGAGCCAATGCCCCCCAGGATCACAGGGTTACACAGACCTCTCCACCGTGTTAAGGTGGTGATTTGGAAGAGGGGGCGAAATAACATTCCTGAACAAACTTTAATTAGAGAGTTTTGCTAACTTGTGTAAAGTACAATGATCATTTGACAAGGTCATTATTATATTGGACGCCTCCCTAGGGAGGTGCTTCAGGCATGTCCAACTGGGAAGAGAACCCGAGGAAGACCAGGACACGCCAGAGAGACCATGTCTCTCGGCTGGCCTGGGAACACCCTGGAGTCCTCCCAGAAGACCTGTTAGAGGTGGCTGGGGAAAGACAGGTCTGGGCTTCCCTGCTCAAGCTGCTGCTCCCACGAGCCGACTTCGGATAAAGATAAAGATAATGGATGGATGGATTATTATTGTATTTGATACTATAAAGCAGAGGTCCTCAACTCTGTTCCTCGTGACCCAGTGTCCTGAATGTGTGAGATGTTTTCCTGCTTCAGCACACCTGACTGAAACGATTGAGTGATTGATCGGCTCCTGATGAACTTGACAACATTCTGAGCAGGTAATTCAATTAGTTGAATCAGATGTGCTGAAGCAGGCAAACAGCTAAAACATGCAGTGGGTCATTAGGAACAAGGTTGAAGACCTTTGATGTCCAATTAACACACACATACACATTGTTTTTTGTATCCACGTGGGGACCTTACATTGACTTACATTAATTTTCAAGTAATTTCTACAGCCTAACCCTGACCCCTGACCCTAAACCTAACCACCTCAGAACATATCTGACCCTACATCTAAGCTAATCTCAACACCTTGGTCATAAACCTTAACCTTCCACTCAAAATCAGCATCCGTAAAATCCTGGTCCCCACTTTATGGACGATGATCATCAACTGATGATTAAGTCCAGAATTTTTTTAACACTAGATACTTATAAGTTAGTACTGAGGTAGTCCTACTACTCCTGTACTAACTACGCAAATAAAATAGGCCTCTAAGAAATCCAAATAAACCTCACAAAAATTAGAACATGCATCACCGATTCCACAGCTGTGGAAACTGCTTAAACAAGAATGATGATTCCTCCTCTGTGTACTCCCTTCTCTAAACTCTCCTTCCTCCCTATGAAACACAGCAAATAGCAAACAGTCAGTGTACTGAGTTCTACTCAAACAGTACGCCTACACTCACCGGTATATACAAGGCATATTCCACTACATCTTACAGCACAAACAAATCAATAGGCTGTCTTTAATGGTCTCTTGGAACAGCCAAATCCACCATGCACTTCCCATTAAGATAGGACCCAGTGGCCCAGGACTGAACCTGATCTCGAGCGAGCATGCACTTCCTAAGGGATTTACCAACCCTGCTGAGCCATCAGTGGCAGGTGGGACCCTCTGAGTAAATACTCACCTAACCTGATCCTTTACCCTAAAACTAATCACTCTAGTAAATACCTAACCCTAACCTTATGTTAGTCCTAAACCCAACTCCTGACCCAGCAACAATATTTCCCCCAAAGGAGACTGGGCTTTTATCCCCACATGCAAATGCTCTAAACCAGTGGTTCCCAAACTTTTTATCTTCTGACCCACAAACTATTCATGGCAAAAACTTGTGACCCCAAATATTACTGGTCTGAGTACACAAACTCTGTTAATAACCCCAAAAAACACAGGCTTTTTGACAATCTAAACAGCTTGTACACAAATATAAATACTTATTTATACTTAATTTGTGTTTTTGTAATAATTATATGGAAAATATTATATCAGCAATTACTTTATTACCCTTTAAATTGATTTCTGGAGATTATCCAAGGTGCTTCATGACCCAAAATTGGGTCCCAAGCCCAACTTTGGGAACCAAACTGCAGTGGTTCCCAAACTTTTCAGCTTTTGACCCACAAAATAACAGTAGCAGAGACCTGAGCCCCCAACTATTTTTGGATGATAAACATTTGTATCAGGTCAACAAAACATGGGCATAGTAACAATATTTTTATACTGCTGAAGTAATTTATTTAGTCATTTAGAAACTGGTTTTAAAAGCACCACACCACATTCATAGTTTTTCTTTTGAAGTATTGATTCTTATGATCTATTGTTTGACTATTGTTATGTCTTGATTAAAATAGGTTTAGATACATACCTGGAACA